TATAATTGGTGGTCAATTATGATGTAATCTCAAAGAGTGGATTTGGAAATAATGAAGGCGGGAGTTAACAAATTTAGTCCAGTCAGAAGTCAACTAGCCGACAGTGCATTGTGATCCACACTAATTATTGTATAAGGGCTGGTGATACTATCTAGCCGTCGAGGCTAAAGTAGCTGCAGTGAGATTCGAAACCAAAGCCCAGTGATTGGAAATGTAAAGCTTAAGCCTACTAGCCAAATGTCCATATCATTACAAATTACCATAGATTGATGGATTAACTAATTAATGAGTGATTTTCGTCACTGACTGACACATGTAAGCTGATGAACCACTGGAAATTAAGTGGTACACCGTAGCAGTAGTCTTTCAATGTGTTAACGCTCAATGCTTTCGTGATGTGAACGTCTAAAGTTTCCATGGGGCAACACGATGATATTCACCTAGTTATTTGTATTTTTAAGTTAGCCTAACTAATCTTTCAATGTACTGTATGTATGATATTGAGATAACTGAAAAATCGGAACTTTTCATGCTGACTTTGAGGAAATTAAATAGCAGGAAACTCGTAACTATAGATGATTTCTGTAAGTTTTAGAGAGTTTTCATTGGTTCCGATTTGTTGAAATTCTTGAGGATCAGGATCACAGGTTCAGCATAAAAAACTCAAAGATAACATACAAATTGGTTTTGAGGTTGTAGGATATGGAAATATATATATCATACCTAACAGTTTACACAGTTTTATAATGAATTCTGAACTGAACTTTCAATGTGGGACTTTGTGCGAAAGTGAGATTTTTCAAGTTGCCATACTTCATAAAGCACACAGATGGTAGAGTGAAAGAAAAGGAGTTCAAGCATCTTTGGCACAGTGGTAGAATGCTCGCCAACCACACCTCATAGTGTTCGGGAATGTATTCCCTCCCGACATATTCTTTTACCTCTCTAAGCTAATATTAAGAATGGTGAGGAGAAAAGGTTGGGCATAAGGCTAGCAACCCTACCGCATAAAAATAAATATCACTGCTACAGAAACTTCAAAGCTGTAGCTTGAAGCCCTAAATCCCACTGGGAACGTGTAGGAAAATAAAGGAGTTTAAATAGAATTGATGTATCTGCACCATCATCGAGGAACCACTTCTAGTTATGTCTCCAACAGTCTCCAGAAACTGCTTCTTAGTGTCTTGAGGACCACCAGACAGGCAGTCTGGACCTCGTTACCTATCTCACACTCAAAGTTTTCATCGACTAATGCTAATTTTTCTTATGATTTCTTTAATACTTATCAGTCTCAATAAATATGCAAAATCTTCGAAATATAAATTACTGACTGACCTAAATGATTCATATTCATTAACATTGTTTATCAAATGAGTTGAAGTCATTTAAATTTTCAGATCTCTCTAAATCTACTTTTTATCCTTTAACCCATGATCCTATAATACTATGTCATTAGTTTGAAAAAGTTTACAATTAAAAATGAGAATAACTCTGTTGATTTCAAGAATGTTTAACGGTAGCTATGTCAGCTGGTCTTCCTCAACGTGGATCTTTATATTCTCAGTGGTGATTTGGCTGATAAGGTGAAGTAGACTCCAAACCCTGGTTTAAAAACTCAGATTGTATGAAGTTAACCGTAATGAGATTAAACAGCTGAATCCCTCCAGTTTGCTTTATTCTTAATATCATCTCACCTATGAAAAGAATACTTCAATGTCTTGTCAGCGGCTTCGCTCTGCGAACATGAATTTTCTTGAACAAAGTTTCCATTGCTAATGTTAGCACCACTTCTTAAGGATTTTAATGTCTTCAGATGTTTTGAGTGTGTTTTTTTAAGAGCAAAATGGTATACAAAAAACAGTGTACAGCAATCATGGGAAACTCTATCTAAAATGGTCCGAGGACAGCACCCAGATACCTATACAATAACTGCTGTATATTATATACTCAGTGAGGTTACGCGTAGAATACAAAGTAGGAAGGGCAAGTCATTCGATGAAGCCACAGTGATTATGATGGCTACACTAAGTGTTACGCAACCCCAGCCACCCCTTCCTCGAATAGCTATAATTACTGACATAGGATTACTTGTGAAAGCAGTTAGGGGTGGTTAAATCAAAAACTGGAATCATCGATGCAATCTTTGAATGTTGGTTTGAGTCGCGTAGGAAGCAGTAGACTATATGGTTGAGGTCCTCAAGACTCTACAACCCAATGGCTTCAGACTATAGGTGATATGGCTCAAAAGTGTTTTCAATAGCATACACGTACTCACTATTTGTGGTCTCCCAAATTCATTAAGTTCTTATGTTTCCGCATACAATTATTCTTTCTGTTGTGCATTTCCTTTAATTAGATTTCTCTTAAATTTTTTTGTTCTACCTCTGTGCTATATGAAATGTGGCAACTTGAACCGCTGCACTTCTGTACAAAGTTCCACATTGAAACTAAGTCAGTTACAACAGTTGTTATGATGCAGAAATGTATATGAATAAAACCTTTATACATTAATAGTGTATGAATCTTTCAACGCTAGTTTTTGTTGTACAGATTACACGACATAATGGTGTAACAACAGAAGACAAGGGCCACGCAACAGATCGTTTATTCAGGGTCTCAACACGTATTTATGTATATTTCATGTACATTATTATAGCTTATTCAAGTAGACAAACACAGTCTTTTGATTGGTTGTTTCTTGCTCAAGGTTATTCTGTATTGCTTGTGACTGGTTACTCAGAAAGTTAAGCCATATATCTGCGAATCGTATTTGCCCACGTTAAGTCTTCTGTGATTGGTTGTTGAATCAGTCTTGTTCATATTTTCTCACGACCAATATTAGCGACCTAGACATTGACGTAGATTGATGTCTACCAATTGGCTAGCAGCCTGCTCTCACCACAATGGTACCATTTACCGGATGGCATTCTGAACATAATTTGTTGCTCATAATTCCACAACTTCGAAACTTCATTTTCTTAGTTCAGGTTCTTCTTTTCAGTCCGTCACATCGGTAGTGCATTCTTCCAGATATGTAGGCTAGGTGTTGAGTCATTCCTATCTCATGTGTTCTTAGGTGATTCGATAAACAAAGCTTCTGCTATCATTTCATCTCCCTGTCTCTTGGCGTTTTTATATCAGATTCTAAGAATCACTTTGAACTAGGCAAGAATAACAGCTTGTGCGGAATAATATGGTACTATCATTTATTTTGTTGGCTTCTCATCAACTGCTTACAGCCCAAATGAATTATTAGGTATTGGGTACAGAAATGTTTTAACACACTTGCAAATTTTACATGATGTCAATTGATAGGAGGTTCTGGACTTAGTGAACAGTGCTCAGAAAATTACGCTTATATAGTTTTTTACACAGGTAGTTCAAGTTTAAACACTGTAAATGTATGTATACAACGGTAGAGGAGTTACGTAATAAAAACAAGGTGTGCGTAAGATGATGAGTAACTAGGAAGTTTGGCAACAATCTGCTTAGTTCAACTCAAATCAAAGAAAGAAGAGACAAACAAAATTACGCTATATAGGGGGGTTAAGGTTAAAGCTAATGATTACACAATCAAATGAAAGATAGAATAAAGCCATCCGGTTGCCAGGGCAAGGAAGGTTTGATAACTGCTCTTCCTAAACACATAGATTGGATTTCAGGCATCTGGTAGAGATTCCTTCAGTAAACTTTAAGAGAAGTGAGCTTTTTTGTCTAATGATAATTTTAAGGGATTTTGCTATTTTCACCTCATGACCCGTATCAAGGAGATGACTGGTAATGACACTATTGTAAGCGTTTGTTCCCTTGAGACGTGGACTTTTTGGTACATGTTCAGAAAATCGGAGGTGTGTCCTCCTTTCTGTTATCCCAATATAACTGCCCCCTGAGATACACGTAAATTTGTATATCCAGTTGGAGTTAAGTGTTAACACTTTGTCCTATCATCTTGTATGGTTATGTCTGTGATTACACATAGTACTGTAGCTGGGTCTTCTTCGTATTAGGGTCCAATAATTCACTCTACTACTAACGCCCGCATACTATTATGAACACACCGTTTCACCGTGTAGTCTTTACAGTAAATAAACTTATATTGAGTTACACGTATCCACAATGCTCAAGTTTTACACCCAATATTAAAATGCATGAGCACATCAAATTAGTTAAATGTGAGGCTAGGTGAACTTCCAACTTATTATAATTATAAGAAAACGCATTAGATCACTTACAAGTGTTTATAACCTAAGCCTGAAGGAAGCCTTCTAACTTTTTTAAAGAAATAATTCATAAATATGAGCAAATAATTCGTTGCCTCTTTAATTCATTAAAATTTAAAAATAAAGTTAATATATGTTCAGTTCATCTAATAGTATGTTGTTTGAAATAAGTGACAAAAGCAAGAAAACATTTCTCAGTGTAATGTAACAAATACGTTTAATTACTTAAAACAATATGTTGTTAGAAAGAATTCAGCACACTCACAGAGGTGCATCGGTGATTAAGTGGTAGAACACCCGTCATCCACGCATGTGATCCTGGTTCGCTAACCGGCTAATGCATTTCTACACCTCATCAAGCCGGCAGCAAAGCTGGTAGAGAGAGAAAATTGGGCATGAGGCCAGTAAACCCCTTCAGTAAACACAGTATCACAGCTATTAAAATTTCGAAGCTTCGAGGCTGAAACCCCATCTTCTATTCGGAACGCAAATGAACAAAGAAGAAAGAACTAGTGGTAAAGCACACAATAAAACCTAATGGACAGGATTCAGTGAATGCTAGAGTAATCATCGCGCAATGTTGTCACTACAAACGACACCATAAAAATCTAACTATATATCACAATTCACTATCTCCATTTAGTTTATTTCTTGAATAGGAGCATACAACAGAAATGATTTTGAAATAGTTATCCCATTCTATTACATACGTTTAATGTAAATAAAGTTTTTCACAATTAGAAATAAGAGTCATTTTATTATTTTATTTTCTTATTTCAGTGAAATTGAAGGTGTTCATTGAATGTCGACGTGATTGTTCAAATAAATGCAATCATAGTTTATTTGTGTACTTAGCCAATGAAGTAAGCAGCAAAACATTTTTTGACCTTTATAAATGGGGATTTTTTTGTAAATATTTTAGAGTAAATTTTTAGTTATGTTATCATTTGTGCTTATCTATTTTCCATCTAATCCTCAATTATGTGAATGAAATGTGATACTAAGTCTAGTTTACTAGTCCAGTATCTGCCCAACCGTAACCAAATATTTCTTAAATAAACTCGTTCTTTATTTAATTCAATTTGGATTTTCCCGTTGAGTGATTGGACCAAAGCCCTCTGTCTCAGGTTGACATGTAGGCTGCTTGTGCAGATGCTTCGACAATGTCTGGTCATGTCACTTGAAGTCAACTGGTTGATGGTGACTAGCAATGAAATCCAGGATGCATATTTCGTCCTATTTTGAACTCTTCATCTGGATGTACCTGCATTCACCAGTGAGTGATGGTGTTCCCACAGGAGCTCAAACTCATTGTCTATAGTTTCAAACGCCACAAAGACCACCTCTTGTGCTTGACTTCAACTTACATGACCAAACATCGTCGAAGCATCCACATACAGAACCGAAATGTCAATGTGAAACTGAGGCCTTCGGTCCAATCAATCGATGAGAAAATCTAAACTGAATTAAATAATTCATAAGATCCATGGCACAAGAGGTGGCTCCTGTGGCCCAAGTGGTCTACTGTATAACGCTTTGACGTTTGAAACTATGAGCACTGCCTACGAGACTCGGTGGTAACACCACCACTCACTGGGGAATGCAGGTACATACAGATGACGAGTCCCAAACAAGACCAAATGCGCATCCTAGATTTCATTGCTAGTCACCATCAACCAGTTGAAACTAATTCTTTGCTGGAATTGGGAAACAAAATGACGTGGGCCGGTGAAAGCCTTTTTAAAACCAGTCAACCGATGTGTCTTCCTTCAATGAAAGTAATAATAAGCATGGAGACATGGAATTTCTGCACAACATTTGAAGCTGGATGTTAAGACCACTCAGACTGCAAAGAAATGAGATATAATTTGTGAGAGTAAGTGGAACAGAAGTGGAATATTCGAAATATTGACCCCGATGGTAATAATCTATTTTTTTATGTGCTGCTGTAGCTCTTTGTTCAACTAGGAACCCAAAGGAGTTATAATAGTCATAAACAGATACTGTTTATCCAGGAATAGTATAACTTCATGTATCCTTTAGTTCCTAGAGAACATAGGGCTTCAGCTGCGCACCTCCATTGACTCGGTTTTCTGACAACTTTTTCACCCTGCTCCAGGTCTGCCACATGCTTTCATCTCCTCTCGCATGACCTCCTCCAAGTCCCTTGGACGACCAACTGCCGCCTCCTTTCGGGTTCCATCGAGGGCTTGTTAGTGATGTCACTTGATGGTTTCCTCAGCGTATGGCAATCATCTCCTTCTTTTGCCTATTTGTTTCACAATCGGTTCCTGTTGTTGCTCCCAGAGATCCTGTTGCTGATCTTTTCTGGCCATCTGATCTTGAGTATTGAGCGGAGACAGTTGTTAATGAAGGTTTGAAGTTTGTTTGAGATGCTCTTTATGACTCGCCAAGTCTCTGATCCGTATAGTAGCACTGACTTCACATTGGGTTGAAAATCCGGTTATTTTTGATGCTGATGCTGTTGACCTCCACACAGATTGAGAGTAATGAAAGCTTGTCTTGCTTTTCCGATTCTGGCTTTGATGTCCTCGTCAGTTCCGCCTGTAGTTGAGACGATGCTTCCAGGTAGGTGAAGGAGGTTGTTTCTTTCAGGTTCTTCCCATTTATGCTTATTGTGTTGTGTTGTGTTGGCAGGAATCTTCATATCTCTGTTTTATCTATGTTCACGTGAAGTCCTATCTTTGTGCTTTTCTGCCAACTTGTTACTTTTCACTTGCATATCTTCCAGTTTATGGGAAATCAGACATATATCATCGGCGAAATCCAGATCCTCCAAGTCTTTTGTGTCAGTCCATTTTATGCCTGTTCCTCGTTGGTTGCCGTTGTCTGTCGCATTATCCAATCAATTGCAATCAGGAAGATCATTGGTGATAGTAGACAGCCTTGCCTCACTCCCGTCCTCACTTCGAAGGCTTCCGTAAGTTTCCCGTTGTGGATTACTTGGCATGCAGCATTGTCGTATAACTGTTGGATGAGGTGTATAATTGTCGATGGGACCCCGTAGTAGCGAAGTAGTTTCCAAATGACCTCTCGATCGACGCTGTCGAAGGCCTTTTCAAAGTCGATGAAGTTGAGATAGAGAGGTGACTGCCATTCCAAGCTTTGTTCAATGATGATCCGTAGAGTGGCGATTTGATCAATACATGATTTGTTTCTCCTGAATCCAGCCTGTTCCGGACGAAGTTTTTCATCTAGGGCTTGTTTGATTCTCTCCAGGATGATGCGACTTAGTATCTTGCTTGGAATGGACAGAAGCATAATTCCACGCCAGTTTTTACATTGACTTAAGTCTCCTTTCTTTGGAAGTTTGAAAAGTAACGTTCTTCCAATCCTCGGGTACTTTGCCCTCTTTCCACACCTTCTCCAGAGTGGTGTCATCAAGTCGCTGTTGTCTTGGGTCTATTTTCAAGCCTGCTGGGATTCCATCTGGTCCTGTTTTGTTTACATCTTGATTGCATTCAGGACTTCTGATTTCGTCGGGGGGTCAGTGTTCACTGGTAGTTCTGCTTCCGTTGTTGGTATTGCTGGCGTGTTGTAGGTGGCGGACGATTTAGAAGTCTTTTGAAGTAGCTTGCATTCAGCTCTGTTTTTGTTGCTCGTCTGCACTGGATAATCTTTTGTTCACTGTCTTCTCTCTTCTATTAGTTTCAAGTGTCCGTATGAGCCACTGTTTGTCCTGTCTTTTTTCTGCCTAGAATTAGTATAACTTCATGGATATACTAAATCATTTAAATCAAAGTTAGCTTCTCACTTCGTTACTACCTACATTTATGAAAGGAACATTAGTAACAATTGTGACATTCATAATATACTCCATAAGAATGATTCACTGATGCTCATTTCAATAAAAATAGAAATTTGGACAACTACGAAAGTTGATTTGAGAAGGAATCTCAGATGTCATCTTCATTATACTATCTGAAAGGTGTATGCTTGGTTAGCAGGAACAGAAAGTTTTAATTTTTTTTTTGATTTACAGCTTGATTCCACACTGTATTTTTGGTACAAGTATGGAATTTTCAGCATGGATATCGGTAGCCCAAATTTTGCAGGCCGACCATAGATATCAGGTATGCGCCGGTGTGGTCGGCGAGAGTCCTAACCACTGTGCCACCGACGCACACCCAGAAGAATGATCATCTGAAGGTCAAACATCATCTCATTAAAAACAGTTTTAATGTGAAGGGGAAAATAGAAGTCATCTTTCAGTGAATGCAAAGAACGATAAGAAAAACGTATTTTCAACGCTTTCACGGTAAAAAAGAAAAGAAACTACAAAATAACATAAAACGAAAGCTGCATCAACCAAGTGACTAAAAAAATAGTATAAAATCAACTATTGTTTCACATCTCTGTCAAATTCGTCCAATCATTTCACCAGGAACTAAACCTAGGATCTTGAGGTTGTTAGACAAACACGTTAGCTAGTAAACATTTACTGGGTCTGAATCTATTCGTCAGTGACGTAAAATTACAGTTCGGGGTATCTAATGTTAGTGACATTATACTGGCAATCTAAAGAAGCTAAAATTCATAAACAGTATGGCTTCAAAACTCATCACACACCATGAAGGTTTTGAGTTTGATGTCTAGAGGAATTGTAACTGGTGAATAAAGCTTCTTTATTTGTCGACAGTTCTCTGTTTTCATTTTGCGATGAAATTCGCCTACAAAAAGTCTTTCATATTTTTAGAAGCATAAAATTTCATTCTTAACATAAGTTCTGATAATATAATGAGAATTCAATTTCATATGGTCAGTATGAGTCGAATCTTGCCGTATTACTTCAAGCATACATTTGTATCTGTATGCAATTAGCTTCTGTGACACACAGATCAGCTTTACACCACTGGAATGAAGAACATGCGGTAAACAGTACTAAGTAAGCCATACAGATTCCTTTGCAGGGTTTGTGAGAAACTGCTAGAAACTACTTTGCAAAATCAGGGAGTACTGGACAGCTTTTTCGTCCTTGTCTGGGACTCTTCAGCACGACTCTTTAACTGATGTCATCTCGTGATCGCTAAACAGTTTACCAGTACTCCCTGCTGATTTTCCAGTAGTTCTCTAAATGATGTCAACTCATGATAAAACCCGTATCATATCAAATCCATAAAGCCAATACCTGGAAAAAGAAAATACTTTCAAAGGCATAAAAGTTTTAAGGTGTCTCCTTAGAATGAATTAGTGAGCAAGGAGTCATAAAAATTGAAACCATAGTTTTGAAAACATTTACGTATATCAATAATTATTATTTCTACATGATTGACTTCAAAAAATTCTTAAATACAATTTCATTACTTAAGTGTTAAAATAATTTTGTTTATTAGACTGAAGTGGTAGAGCACGTTGACCGCTTCACTTATTTGGGAAGTACCATCAGCCAGTGTCAACGGGTTGATCTCTGACGAAATCTCAGCACGAATACAGGGGCCTCGTTTCGCATTTGCCAGTTTACGCCGACTCTGGCGTAGACGAGATGTTCGACTATCGACCAAAGGGCGGGTGTACTGCTCATCAGTCCGCTCCGTCCTCCTTTATGGCCAGCTGTGAGACCTGGCCACTCAGAGTGGAAGACATGAAAAGACTAGCTGTCTTTGATCATAGGTGCCTGCGCTCTATTTCCCGTGTAAAGTGGCATAATAAGGTAAGCAACATTGAGGTTAGGCGTCGAGTTCTAGGTAAACAGGGGAAATCAATCGACGAAGTCGTGAAGTTACAAAGACTGAGATGGTTAGGACATGTGTTACGTATGCCAAGCCATCGCCTCCCTCGACGAGCTATGTTAGCGGATATAGGGTCAGGCTGGTAAAAAGCTAGCGGCGGTCAAACAAAAACTTGGCATAAGTCAATGAAATCCACAACAGTTGGTCTTAGCCACGTAGGAAGGTGTAGACTTCCAGACTGGGGTCCTCGGGACGGCAAAAATCTATGGTTGGAAACAATTGGTGACATGGCTCAAACTCATCGTTCTCAGTGGCTAGCGCAGATGCATCCACTCCTTGTAACTTATGATCTTCAATGAAACTGTTTTGTATTTCTTTATTACTCCTTTGTCTCACATCTCTACTCACTGTTTCTATTATGCTTTTCTTGTACTTTCTTCTCTTGCTTCGCGTGCTACACGGAGTGTGGCGACTTGAACTTCCGCACATTTGTGCAAAGTTCTATGTCGAAAATAGACAGACAGACAGATTAGACTGAATATTCTCAAAGGTATAATGCTTTATACTACTGATTCACTGATATAAGTAGTTAGGATTCGCTCTCATTAACTAGTAGTGCTTGCTGGACTGCATATTGCGAGCTGCATAATTTTGGTTTGCAACTAAGACTGTTTAACTTGCAAATTGTGAATACGGTCGCATATTCCAAAGTTCGTTGTTTATTACTTTCTGTGAAATAATAGTGTAGATGAGACTGCTAGACTGATTTTGAAACCTGTTCTCAAAAGCAACTCAAGCAATGAAGGCAGCAAATCATTTCTCGTCATTTCTTTGCTTTTCCATTGGAAAATAGACCTCTAAGCTTTGATTTTCCAGTAACCTGAGGTTCAGTCGTGCTTCTTTTCCAGGTTTATTACATGCCAATAAGATTTTAATTAATAAACTAAAAGATAAGTATAATATATGAATACTAAACGATTTAATTTAATTTAGTGTTAACTTCTTTATGTTTGTATTTTAATTTTTAGAATGAATGTTATACCTGCTTAATTGAATGTATGTCTGCATTCACCCAACAAGCAGAAAAAGTTGGAGTAAGTTCATCTTTCTATGTTTACAAATTTACTTTGAAGTTATATTTCATTTTAATGGGTTTTTTTTCACTGTTAATCCTTTAAGTTGAGTTAGTGTGGATTTATTATCTTGATAGCATTATTTTTATTATTATTACTCCTTTGGATTCCAAGTGGAACACAGCGCTTAAACAACACATCTCCACTTTCTTCTGTTTTATGCCATCCTCTTCATCTGACTCCATGATTGCTCATATTCTCTCATCTCCTCCTCACCCCACGATCTTCTCCATGCCACCCTAGGACGACCCAGTCATCGCTTCCCATTGGGATTCCACTCGAGCGATGATCTGTCGCGCTGTGTCAATCGACGGCCTCCTCAACATATACCCAATCCATCTCCATTTTCTCCTACATATTTGTTGGGAAATCGACTCTCGGTTGGTTTGTTCCACTACAGAGTTTCTTGTTGCTAATTCTTTCTGGCTGACTGGCCATTTGATCTTCAGTATGGAGCTAGCGAAGGAGGCAGCTGTTGATGAAAGTTTGTAACTTGTTGGAAATGCTTTTCATGACACGCTGGCCAAGTTTCTGACCCCGTTTAGAAGAACTGACTAACTTCCCATTGGTGTTTTAAATGTGAATCGTGTTGTACATACTGAATGCAGAAGACTTCCAAACGGATTTCAGATTGAGGAAGGCATATCTTGCCTTTCCGATTCTGGCTGGCTGGCTTTAACACCTTCATCCGTGCCATCCACCTCTGTTTGTAACCGTGCTTCCTAGTGAGATAAGTGAAGGAAGTAAACCCTGTCAAATCTCTTCCACTGATGGTGATTGGTGCTGATTGTTGTTGCTGTCAGTTGGTTGTCTTCATCACCTCCGTTTTCTTTATGTTCACCTAGAGTCTTGTCTTCACTGCCAGCCTCTTCTGCCACTTTGCTGGTTTACGCCTGAAAATCTTCGATTATGCGTGACACTGGACATAAATCATCCACGTGTTAAATCTAGATCTTCTAGTGTCTTCTTATCAGTGGTCCAACGTACTCCTGTCTTCTCACTCCCAGTGCACAGTCTCACGCATAATCCAGTCTACCGCAATTAGGAAAATCATTGGTGATAATAGGCAGGTGACCTTGTCTTAATAATGTAATCATTTCAAAGGCTACAGAGTTTCCCATTACGGATAATCTCATTCGTGGCACTGTCATATAACTGTTGAATGAGGTTGATAAAGACTTAGGCATTGCATGCCGTAGGTTTGAAGCAGTTTCCAAATTACCTTTCGGTCAACGCTGTCTGTCGAAGGCCTTCTCGAAGTCGATGAAGCGGAGATAGAGGTTTAATTGCCATTCTATGCTTTGTTCTGTAATGATGATGCGTACAGTTGCAATTTGATCAGCACGCTGTATGCCTTTCCTGAATCCAGCTTGTTCCCGTAGGTGAGGCGGAGTTCTGCATCCAGTGCATCTTTTACTCTATCCAGGATGACACAAGCTCGCCTAGTTTAATAACTCGCTAGTTTTCTAGCCGGTCCCAAGCCCGGTTAAATAAGGAGGGTTGGGTGTGGGGCTAGAGACCCTACCCCAGAAAACCAAACAAACCACTGAAGAAACTTCAACTTACGGTTAAAAAATATCTTGAGAGTGATTTCTGAATTTTAAAACTTTTTTTTCCAGAATGGTTGCACTTTAAATATGTAGGGCACTTTTATTTGACCATTTACTTTCTAAATAGATGAATAAAATGTCAAGCTTTTTGAAAAAATATTTCATTTTGACAAGTATCGACGAAATATGTTGAAAGATGTGTAACTGCTGGAGTTTTTTTCACTTCTCCCCTTCGGAATTGAACATGCTACTACAAGCTGTTGGAGTTTCAGTAGCGGTAGTGTTTCACTAGATAAAGTTGCTAGCCTCACTCCCGACCTTCCCTCTTCTTTGGGTTTACTATCATCTAATAAAGTAGACCAGTTTTAGGAGTAAGTTGTGAGGGAATCGAATAGCAACCACATCCATGATTGACAAACATGTTAACATTGATGCAATGACGCATATTTGGTTGAGTCAACAGAATCGAATATGCTATGTACAAGCCACTTGATAATAATCGAGCGATCAACTTTCCGAAGCGTTGTCAAGTAAGAATGAGTCACCGAAAACACTGTAGAGATATCTAAACAACAATAAGATTAGGGTAACATTTAAACTGACTGATTCACTTAGACAAGAGCAATTTAAGCCAAAGATCCCGTAATCTGGATAAAGATAAATTAATTCAATTGATCAAATATCATGGAATGATTTTTCGATTAAATATATAAATCAAAGTATTCAAGATAGCGGAACATTGGATTGTATGCCCTGGTTCGTCATAACACTATAAAGTAGAACTGAATAGATATCTGAAGTTGGACATATATGTACGCATAAACACTTTAATAAATGATTCGTAAAGATGAGAGTAAGAAAAGGTAGCCTACCGTCACCGATAATATTCTTCATTATAGTGCACTGTATCATGAGACAGACAGTGGGGAGCAAGATAATGGGCATATGCTGGAACGACAAGAAGACAGTGGAAGATCAGGACTTCTCGGAAAATTTATGTCCAATACCACACAAACTCAAAGATCTACAGGTGAAAACCAAAACGTCTGCAGAAGAGGTAGCCAAGACGGGACTTCAGGTGAACATAGAGAAGACAGATGATGAAGACACCTAACCGTCAACAACAATATCAATCAGACACAATCTGCAGGAGGAATCTAGAGGAAGTCATCTCTTTTACTTATCCAGATGGCCCAGTTTCAGTTACAGGTGGCACGGAGGAGGATATCAGATGAAGTATCGGAAAAGAAAGACAAACTTTCCTTACTCTTACTTTACCATCGAAGTCTGCTGTACTCAGAATAAAGAATAAGATTCAGACTTTCAACACTAATGTCAAGAATGGACTTCTATGTGCTTCAGATACTTACCCCCCGTGTCACCAAAATCATCTACAATATGCTGCTGCCCTCGCACTCTACTGTATATCAGAAGGCCTGTCGGGAGGATAAACGAATGGAAACTATGGTGACGAAGCAACTAAGAGCCCATCAACCAACTAATATTCACATGTTAGTGGACACGGATTTCATACGCACTGGGAAGAACCTGAGCGACAATCAGCTCCAGGCTGTAGGAAGAAAATCGAATGGGAAATAATAATTTCGGTGTGTGTAATAGAGCATGACACAGTGGAGACAGTAAGAGGTGAGAATTAAAGCTAATGGACAGTCATGGAGCCTGCTAAAAAGGACTGTATAGAACAGAATGGAATGAAGATATGCTGCTGTAGCTAAGTGTTCCGGTTGAAACCCAAGAGAACTGATAGTGATGATAAATTTTACTTCGTTTCGTAGCTGCAGAAATCATATATCACTGACTCGTGTTCCTTGTATTTAATTATGCATACTTATACTCTTAATAATTTGGTATCTTTCATCCCTTATGGATTTTTTCTAGATGACCATTATCAGAAAACTGCCTTCAAAGAATCTTTGACAGTATCTGATATCTTATGATATACATGTATTCACAACATTATTGAATGTCAGATTAGAATGAAGTAAAAGTCTCGTAAACAACTATAGAAATAAGATGAAATGGGTTTTATTTTCTTTATTTTGTTATATGAGAAAGTGAAACTTAAATGTACTGAAAGTAATATGAATATTTTTCATTCAGTGATAAAGATTTAGTGGAAGTACATGTAAACAATTTTATAAATCTCACTGTAATCATTTTCCAAAAAAAGAAATCTAGTAAACGTTACAATTACCTTGGATAGTTTTCCCACTTTACTACATTGATCATGTCATTGATTTAGATCTATGATAAAGTTCAGACTGCAACGACAGAAGAGAAGGCCAGGCAACAGATCGTTTATTGAGAAAACCAAGAGATATTTATAGATTTTCATGTTCACTATTGCCAGAGGAGAAGTAACCTATTCTGATTGATTGTTTTCTTTCTGAAGTTATTCTGTACTTCTTGTGACTGTTTCTCCGAAAGTTAAGCCATATATCTTAGAGTAGTATTTGCACACGTTAAGTCTGCTGGGATTAGTTGGTGAGCTCCTCAAGGTTAAACTTTATTAGTGTTTTTTTCTCATGACTCCGATTCAGGACGTAAACATGGACGTAAATTGTTGTCTATAATTTTGGCTTGCAGACAACTCTCACCACAAGATAAATTCAATCACTCTTTTAAAATGGCCAAAATATTGAGATGTTCTCACTATTTAACTTTTCTCCTTTTTCATTCATTCTCGTTCCTAGAGGCTTCAATCTTTTAGCTTCGAAGTTTCAGTACCGATGTTATTGTTCCCCCTTTTCTGGGCTCCTTATCGGCTAGTGAATTTCGCGAGGCTTAGGAGTTCATCGCTAGGGTATCACTAACGCATTCCCTGTTCGTTATATTTCAAAAATTTTCACATGGCTATGTTCCATTTGAAGTTATTAGGAGGACCTTAAATAGAAATAAGCCCACTCATATTTGAGCTAACCTCATTAAATAGAAAAATTATAAATGTACTTTAGTACAGAAGGTAAACACCACTCAAATCAACCTTTACACATGATTATGTAACGTGTAGTATAATAGAGAAAAGTTTGTGTAACTTGACTTAATCACTTCATTTTTCATGTATATCCTGTGGATTTAGCATAAATGTGACTTTGAACCGTCTGTTTATCATGCAGACGCACTACAATAACCTTTTAAATAATGGCTAACTGGTACTTGATCCTTGACCACTTTATAATACCCTTGTTCTACTTCAGTTTTCCTATTAGTTTGCAGGAGTTATTGAGTCGGAATTATTGTATGCAAAGCATATATTGATTTTTAATGTAATTATACCTTAATTTCTTTTATTTTATCTCTTGACATCCTATAAATTGATAGATTCAGCTGAAGGATATGAAGAAATCAAATGATGTAAATCTGTTGTCGGACAGTCTTTATGCACCAGGAAAGAAAGTGAGACGTCGTCATCTACGTCAGGATTATTTAACACAAGATCAATTTAGAAAAAGAACAGATTGAAGACTAAAACAATGATATATATAAATAAATATGTAACAGAAACAAGTAGTATAGTTCATAAACCATATGTTCGGAAAACTATTCATCTCAATAAACAAGAAGCATTTCAACAATTTCCCATCACTATGATTATTGCTACTACTATTATTATTAGTAATATTTTTACCGCTGAATAGTATATAACTTATGACCACATAACAATCTCTTCTTGTAAAATTTCATATCATTTTGTTTTAATCACTTTCATCATTTAAATAGCGCTCATTATGAAAATATTTCTTCCACTATCAATATACACTATTAACAATTACCTCATTTTTAAAATAAGTATTATTTCATATGCACTTCTGAGAAACAATAAATATGTATCATTAAAATGCTTGTCGTATACGCAGCTTTGTTTTTCATCTTCAAAGAGTGCAAAATGTTATAATTCACAGAATTTCAAATATCTAGAATCATTTAACATATTCTTCCGGAAAATACCTGATTAATTTTTATCTTCGCTGATCTATCAGTATAAATTCAGTTATTTTAACTCTTGCAATAATAAGATTACTGTTAATAACTGAAATTATCATCTGTCCAAAGAAACGAGCAAATGGTGATTATAACTGATAAAACTGGTTGTACTCAGTATATGAACTCGAATAGCTAAGTGGTCACTTCTTTAACTATGGCATTAAGTGGCGTCAGTTTGAATTTCTAAGGGGATATCAGTTATGCTGGGGTTGCAGATACGCCTCTTTGATAAGTATCAACAAACACAGAAACTAGGCTCAGGGTTCCTTGTCAATTACTTGTCATCATCGAACGTGAGTTCAAAACTGAGTGTGGTGGTAAGTCAACTTATTTGGCGACCATATTGCAAGGAAAACAGAGTGGCGTTTCAATCCACCATAAGCCAGTCACAAAGGTGGTTCAAGGGAGAGGTTTTTAGATGTCAATAAACTTGTTTTGGGTTCCATAGGTAAGAATCAAAGCACAACTGATGAAACCTTACAAACATCTTTATGGGAGGCAGAAATGATTTTAAACGGTCGGCCGTCGACCCCATTGAGACACAATGTCAAGGGCTTCGACGTGCTGACTCTAAGATAGGTGTTATTTCTACGAAGAGACCCAGATATTGAGGACTTGAATTCGGGGATCATACATATTATTAAGAGATGGAGATAAGCCAGATGTCTGAAAGGCATTTTTCAGAGAAGATGGTTTCGGGAATATGTATTACAATTTATAACGAGAGACAGGTGGTGAAGATTATTTAGAGATTATCGAGTTGGTGATAATGTGCTAGTACCAGAAAAAACTAATATAGGTTTTTGGCGTTTAGCAAGCGGGAAGGCGTGCTTGTCAGTAATGATGGATTAGTGAGAACTGTCAAAGCTAGGGCAAAGACTGATACAGTGGTGCGAGATGTATGAAAATTGTGTTTATTCGAGGGAGTGACTAAGTACAATTCTAAGGCGATTTCACCATAAAGAATCGTCAAAATGACACGTGTTGCAGGCTTAATGTCGTAAGCCCTGCAATTTTTCAAGGGCACTACATCAAAGCACGATCCACGAAAGTAAGTCTGTAAGGCGTTTACAACACGGTATGCAGTGAGTGATCGGGGAATTTTTTATGGTTATAGCTTAAAACCGCACTGTATGGAATCTCACACTTGCCGGTCTTGGAGTTCGTTGTCACCTTGAAGTGACTTATAGACTATTTTTTGATGTGTCTGCCTTAATGTGTCGGTTAAAAGTCTGGACCTATAGCAAACTGATGGTGATTTTATCCGTATTTCTGCGTGTCTTTTTGCTCGGCAATAGACCTGGTAACAACGCCAAGCTAAAACCTAAATATATGGTGGCCTTTCATTTAGTGTTAGGCATCACCATCCCTGTTCGAATATGGGCAGATCAAATTATGGTTCGTCGGTATGATTTTGTAGTGACATGCAAAAAAACTGGAATAGAACAAAAGCACATAGAAATTCACTCCAACTTTCTATTAAATAAGAACATGTTTATTTCTGTGTTATCTGGATATGCTGAATATCATCCACTTCTTATAATGAGGAATAAAATCAACTGTAGTGCCATCATCATAAGACCACAGGGCGATACTGTAACAACAGAAGACAAGGGCCACACGACAGATCGTTTATTGAGGAAATCAAGTTACATTTGTGTATTTTTATGTACTGTGGTGATTGACAATTTCTATCTCTCTATTGCTTAAATACTTACTGTTGATTGTTAATATGTTTCTTATATGAATTGCATAATAATTCCGCTAAATACAAATTCCTGAGGTCTGTCCTCTCTGTGTTTTGTTTGGATTCGTATAATTCGGTCATCTCGAAATACTAATATTACAATTACAATAAATTACTACAAATTGGCGTCGCGATGGAGCTAAGTAACCTGGGAAAATTCCCCATTAATGGGTCTCCGCGGGAGATTGCTGATTATTTGGAATGCTTCGATGCGTGGTGCATTTCCAAGAATGTTCGGGATGACAAAATTCCAGCATATTTCATCACTGCTATTGGGCTAGATGCGTATAGCCTAGTAAAGACTCTGTCATTTCCAGATAAACCCATTTCTCTGCCATATGCTAAGCTCCGTGAACTTCTTATAGATCACTTCCATATAACTACTTTTGAGGCGCGAGAGAGGGCTCAGTTCAATAAACTGCTTCGTGCTCCCAACCAGAGAATTAGAGACTATATTCTGCAACTCCAAATACAAGCTTCAAAGTGTAACTTTGGAGATCAGCTGCATACTCAACTACGTGATCGTCTAATTGCTGGAATCAATATTCCTAAGTTAGAGAAAGAGTTAATTCAGGTTCCTTCTTGTACCTTCCAAACTGCTAAAGATGTATATATTACATATGAAGATGTCAATAATGAATACTCTTGTTGAGTACGTAACAATGTGATTGTACACTTTTTAGGTACTTGTATAAATTCGAGATATTGTACATAATTTTTGTTTAAATCGCTTCTTGTTGAGATATAAATAACTTCCGTGTACAATTGAAAAATACACTCTGCTGTTGGAGACTTCGTCTTCTCCCTGGTCACCTCTACTTGCTTGCTCCACTCACACCGTGTTGTAACTTTGGATTTATTGTAGGAGCCTACTACTTTCATCCGAAGACATTTCTACAACCGGTACACAGCAGCTACAGCAGACGCAGTCCCAACAGTTAACGTGCCTGTGGATTATATAATTAATTTGTAGCCGAGGACTTACACTTTATAACCAAGTAATCCTTTTTGTTGCTATAATTCGTCACTGTATTTTTGGTAATATATTGTGATTTAACACTCCACTGACTTGGATTATTACTTTTATACTTGGAATGTTAGTGAACTCTAATATTAGTCCCCTACACTCTGCTCCCACTACGTCGGTATCTGATGTTATGCTTTCTAAAGTCGAAAATACAAGTGGTAATGGAAAGAAATCCAAACTGCCGTCCACAGGTAATAGAATGCAGCGAGAGATCAAAAACATTAAACCGTGTTTATCCTGTGGAAAGTTACATCTACGAAGCACTTGCCGTTTTCGGGGTGCTAAGTGTCACAAATGTGGTAAAGTTGGACACATCAAGACGGTTTGCAGAAGTTCGAATACATATGTTGCTCAACATTCTTATAATTCTCCCAAGTTGTCTAGTAAAATGGAGTCAATGTGTCTTTCAACTTTTTAAAATACTCAATCTCATCCAATGAAAACCTCCACTACAACTTCAGCAACTCAAGCGTCAACTGTTCCCAAAAATGAGGTAGCCGAGTTACAATGCGAACTGTCGAAAACACGAGAAGAACTGAATGAGATGAGAGAGCAACTGATTAAAATGGAGGAATTGTTGCATATGCATAGACCGCGTCTGTTGAATGCAGAGCATACAAGTACCCGTGAAAGTCCTGCAAAACTATTCAAATCTCGAATTCTCAAAAAGCATCTGATGTCCACGACTTCTAATGTACATTATTACAAAGGTAATAACTATAGACCTTCTGTTGGAATTATACTACAAAAAATGGGAAATCGAGTGGTGAAGATATTAGACATCAAAGATCACTCAGTTCATAACGGACACCTGGACAAAGTGACAATAAATGAAGTAGGTCGTTCCAATTATAATATTATTGATTCCGCTAATAATCCTGATTTTGTAGATAATTCAGAAATAAGTCCAGATAATACTGATGAAAATGATATCGCAGAATCAGTTAGAAGGTCGCACCTACTTGCAAGCAAACCGAGACATCGTTATAAATACGCAAGGAGATATTCGAGGTGTGGCGGATGTGGTGATTGACAATTTCTATCTCTCTATTGCTTAAATACTTACTGTTGATTGTTAATATGTTTCTTATATGAATTGCATAATAATTCCGCTAAATACAAATTCCTGAGGTCTGTCCTCTCTGTGTTTTGTTTGGATTCGTATAATTCGGTCATCTCGAAATACTAATATTACAATTACAATAAATTACTACATGTACATTATTATTCGTTATTATTAGCAGACAAACTTCGTCTTCTGATTGGTTGTTTTCTTGCTGATAGTTATACTGCTACGGATAACTTCCGAGAGAAAGAAGCGACTATTATCCATGACGTATGTACCTGTTGCTGTAGGACAGCCCCAACAGCTGTGTTATATGAGTCAACCGAGATGCCAAGGAGAAGTTGGACGTCTAGGTGGACTGGCATGGTTGCGTCTGCAATCGCCGACTTAATTTTTTGGAACGCTTCTTGAGCCCTTGGTGTCATGCTGAATGTCTTGCACTTACCCTTTAATAGGTCTGTGAATGCATGTAAATGTGTGCAGATTGAGAAACAAATCTCCGGTAATAACTCACCGTGCCTAGAAATATGCGCAAAGATTTCATGGACGTAGGCTCTGGGAAATTTTGTATGGCCTGCATCTTTTCAGGTAAAGGGCGAATGCCATGTTCGTTAATGACATGTCCCAGAAAGGTCAAC